GGGGGGGGGGATTTCAGCTGCTGTGTAAGGGGTGGGGAGGGCAAGTGGGAGTCTCCAATTCCGCCCTGAGGACACAGACCAATCTTCTAGGTAAGTGCTGTCCCATTCTCTCTAACCCCAGCTCCCAGCATGGTACACAGGGAGCCCCACTTCCTTGCACCTCAGTGCCCCACTGTTAGACTATGGGCAGCACGTCTGTTCCTCCAGATCTCAACCGCACTCCCCTGACCCTCGAAGTCAGGCACCCTCCCAAGATGCATCGGTTCACTCCTCAGTAGCTGCTGGATGGAGTCTTGGCTCAAAGTATGTGTGTCATCTGTGACATAGCTGCAGCGTCCTGCATCTGTGTGGTGTGTTGTGTAATGGAGTCTCCCCTTTCACTGCACCCCATGCGCACCCCCTAACAGGTGACCACCCCGGTGGCAGGCACAAGGAAGACTGGAGGGACAGAGCACTAGGGTGGGCTGGGCCAGCCTGTTGTGGGGACACTGTCACAGGCACTCCCTCTGCATGTCCAACAGCAAGCCTGTGGCCATGCTCCTCGGTGGTGCTGGAAAAAGTCTGAGTTTTGGATACAAGTTTAGAAGAAATCAACATGTAACAGAAATTCCGCTTTTCCTAATCAGTATGTTTACAAGCAGGAGAGGGGAACGGGCAGCAAGCCAGGGTGACATGAACTAGCAGAGATGACTTGAGGGGAGGAGAGGGTGCTGGTGGTCTGGAGACAGGAAGTGGGGGATGGGCTCAAGGGAGCAGGCAGGAGGCGGGTATAGGGACAGCAGGGTGGTAGCCCGGTGAACAGGTCAAGAGCTGGCTGTTTTAAGCTGTGAAAATGTGCAGCAGGTGTGCACTGAAAGTCTGAGCTGGTACAGGAAAACACCACATGGTGGCAAGGGCAACCATGGTGGGTACAGAGTCTGATTTTAGCTGAAAACTCCAGAATACTTTCACTGAGAGATGTGAGCTGCAGCTCTGACAGCCCACGGCCTGCTGGAGAAAACAGCGGAGTGTCGTGTGTGTGTGTGTGTGTGTGTGTGTGTGTGTGTGTGTGTGTGCTGGAGAAAACAGCGGAGTGTCATGTATGTGTGTGTGTGTGTGTGTGTGTGTGTGTCCCCCGCATGGACATGGCCCAGAAACTGCCCGGCCAACCTCTCACCACGCTTGCTGGTGACCCTTCTTCCCACCAACACTCTGAAAGCTACACTTGAGCAGCCCATTTTGAATGCAGTCTAGAAAACTGGGCTCAACAAAAACTGTCTTCCTAGGCCCACAGAGAAGCCCAGACATCCATCCTCACTGGGTCTGGCCACTCAGGTGGCCACTAGCATACAAGCAGTGAGCAAGTGGGCTGGAGGGGACAGCCAAGGTGACTTGAGGCTGGACAAAGGTGGAGGTGGTTAACAGAGGGCACAGGCCTCCCGGGCAGCCACTGGAGGGGTGGATCCAGAGGTGCCTGGTGCTCTGACTTCTGCTCTTGGGGGCATCACCTCCCCTTCCATGCCAGCCTTTTCCTTGGGGGCATCACCTCCCCTTCCATGCCAGCCTTTTCCCATTTCTTTTTTCCGGAAAAAAGCTAGGTGGGAGGTAAATTTTGAAAACACCTTTATTCTATTTGACAGCTGAGGGATGACTTGGCTGTGGCTCCACGGAGTGTACTTGTCAATCTAGACAGTGCTCCCAGGTCCCCCTGCCGTGTGGTGACTACAGCCCCGTCCCCCCTGCTGGGCTCCTTTCCTTCTCTAGCTGCTGGGCCACCTCTCTGAACCTCCCAGACCAGCCTCTGCTGTTCCGTTTCCCCCTATTTTTCACCTGTCTTTCTGTTCTTATTTTGGGTGATGGCATCCACTTCATCCATCTGCGAATAGAGTCTCATTTCTGCTGTGAGGTGCTCATTCTGTTCTATGCTCCTTTCTTCGCAATGCCCTGCCCTATCTCGCTGCACAGCCCACACTTCCTGCAGAATGGCCTGTGCCTGTTGGAAGCTTGGCTCTAAATCTGGTGGAGTCATAGGATGAAACATGATTCTGCCATAAGAAGTGGAATTCTGACACCTGCTACACCTGAACCTGTTTCCATATTTCTGTCTCCTCCTGACACTCAGCCTGCCTTGCCCTAGGCTCCCACCCTGAGGGCCCTGTTGCTTGTCTGTCACTCCCAACTCTGCTTTAGGGGGCAGCCGTCCCACCCTGCAGACTGGCCCCAGCACCTCCACACAGCACTCCAAGGGATGGATGACTGGGAAGTATAACCACCCAATCACATTCCAACAATGCTGAAGGCACACTCCCTCCTCCCACAGGACACCTGACCAGCCCTTGTCTTTCTTGTCTCTCGCTGGCTCGCTAGGGAGGCAGGTAGTGTAGGGTCAACAAGCACAGTGTCCACTCAGACGAAGTGCTCTGTAAGGACTCCATGGTTACTGTGAGGTACGCCCTGCATTGGGGCCACCAAACGGGGCTTGAGGGATGCTGATGGAGCCCCTGCCCACAGCATTTCCCAGCCAGGCTCTTGCAAATGATTTATGCTATCATTGAAAATAGAACAGCCTGGCTGGTGTGGCTCACTGGCTGAGCACTGACTTATGAACCAGGAGATCACAGTTTGATTCCCCGTCGGGCCACATGCCTGGGGTTTCAGGCTCGATGCCCAGTAGGGACCATGCAGGAGGCAGCTGATTAATGACTCTCTCATCATTGATGTTTCTATCTCTCCCTTCCTCTGAAAAAAAAACCCACCAGATCAAGTAAACGGTATCTTCACGTAAGCCCTCATTAGCCCTGATGTGTCCTGGAAAAGAAGGGGCCTGGAGGGCCTGGTACAGGAGACTCTCACAGAATCGCTCTCTGGGCTCATGGGCATCATGGCATCACCAGCCATGATGGCAGGCGGGACACTAGGCTACTCCCTTCAGCCTTGCACTTACCCGATGATCTCCGCCCTACCCATCCCTGCCTCACTGGATACCCCAGCACCAAGTGTTGCAGGAAGCTCCACCACGCAATGGCCGTTCCTGCCTCCCTCGCAGTGTTCCTCTGCCTGGTGAATACCCTTGAAAACTCAGTCACAGATGCCCTTCCTTTCTAGATGACACACTCCCTCCTCCAGAAAGCCCACCTAAACTCCACACCCCAACGGGGGCTAGCAGCCACCTACGGGTCTTCCCAAGACCTCACGCACGCCTCCACCCCTGCTGTCCACATGAGGTTATCACAATCCACTCTGGGCCTCGCCTGTCTCCATGTCAGGACACCTGAGTGGCAAGAGGCTGGCACACACCAGGTGACAGCCTGATGAATGCAGGAGGGCTGGCAAACACAGAGCAGATGTCCAGTCCTGCCAAACCAATGGAGGAGGGCTCCATTCTACCCCTGAGCAACCCCGTCCGGGACCCGAGCAGCCTTGAAAGAAGGCTGCACGACAAGGAAGCTACTACTTCTTGGGCTTGAGTCAGAAGAAGTAGGAATCCTACTAGCACAGCCGGATTTTGAATATAAAAGGCCAACACTGCAATTAAACAGAAAAAACAATATCTGGTGTCTAGAAGCAGCCTTCCCTTTACTAGTGATACATGTGGCCTGATGCACAAATAACGCGAGACTGTGGGTGGGGACGGACACTGTCTCTGCTCATCACCAGCCTAACTGCCAGGAAGAATGTGCTGGCCACACAGAAGTCCAAGGAGACGGCTGGAGGGACCATAACAGAAAACTACAGCCAGTGTCTCAGGGACACCACTGCTGTGAAGCCCAGTGATGAAGGAAGCACCAGCCATGCTGACTAGTGCTGGGCCTAGAGCAGCTGCAAGGAAGGTGCAGACAGAGCGAAGCAGCAGGGCAGCCGGAGTGCAGACAGACGGGCTCAGATCCACCCAGGCCCCGGCACCCATCTGCCAGTGATGACTGTGAGCAGGTGACTCTCCTGTTCACACACCAGTGCTGTTCATACTGCAGCTGTCTACACTCAGGGTTTGTCTCCTCTTCAACCAGGCTGCAAGAGGATAGAAAACGTGCTCTGCTGACTGTTGGCTTCTCAGTGTGAAAATTAATGTTTTAAAACTTTATACACATATAACACTCAGTATTTCACAGGATCACCTGAAACACAGTCTTGCTTCAGCTTTACAACATCCATAGAAAATAAACAGGACAGATATACTCTAATCCACAGACACAGCTGAGGCTCAGGTGGTCAATCGCCCGAGTCAGGACTGAGTCAGTCCAGCTCATCTTCTGCACAGGGAC